CTTCGTACCTCTGTATCGGCGGGGTTTTAATCCCCTCAACATTCAGAGGTCGTTCCGGAGGCAGTCGCTCTGCCCCTCTGGTGGCTGCTGCGTGCTTAATTAAGTTCGGTTTTTTTTTATAAAAGTGAATATTGCTGGGGCTTTTTCAGGGATAACAACCTAATTTGCAAGACAAGCAATGGCTTGCTGCGTGTGTTCGGTGAGGATACTGTCTTAAAAAGCAGCTGGCTTGGTCCGGGTGAAGGCTCCGGCTGGGCTTTTGCCTACCTGGGAAAAGCTTGGGAGCTGCAAACTTTTTTGAAGAGGGATAAGGTATGAAATGAGGGAGCTGGGACCGCGGAGGCCTCTTGGTTGCTCCCCAAAAGGACCTCAGCTGGGGGAGCCTTGCCGGCGATCGCATCCAAGCCCGCCAGAGCGATGGGAAAGGTGACCTCCTCAGCAGGGACCCAAGGTCCCTGCGATTGTGAAACCGGTATTGCAGCCAGACGGGAAACCGCCTTCTTACCCGGGGAGAAGTCCACCCGCTTTGGGGTGACACGGGGAAAGCCCCCTCCGTTAGCAGCCCTCTGCCGCAGGACCCCAGGGGGGTGTCTCGGTGGGGGCTGCGGGACGGCCAGGGATGCCCAGCGCCGGCGGGCTTAGGAGATTTGGGGTTTTATTTCTTGATAGCTGCTTCCTGCGGGCTGGCTGGGAGTTGGCGGTTGTTTCTTCGCATCACGTGGCGATGGAGGAGCCGGGAGGCTGCGATGAGAGGCTCCCGCTTATTACTGCCGCGTTAGGGCATCGCATCCTGGGGAGGAAATGCCGGGGAGCCGTGTGCTGCTCCTGACCGCCCCAGCGATAACAGACACGGCTGCGCTTGTTTGGAGCTGTCGGAGCAAAAAAAGAGACGTCTGAGCCAACCCCGGCAGCCTCGGCATGCCAAGGAGCCCCGGCGGAGGGGGCACGGGAGCCCTCCCGTGCCCTTTCCACATCTGAAATGCAGCAGATAAAGCTGGCTGTGGCCCGCGAGTGCTTATCGGGCAGGTTTCGCCTGCACGCAGCGGGGCGGCACGTGCTCCTTTTCATTTGGTTTTACTTTTTTCCCTCCCGGCCAAATGGCCCCTTCTGGGAAAAACCCCTGCGAAGAAGAGGGAGGGGAAAACAAAAAAATTAAAAAAAAAAAGAGGAATAAATCGGTTGTGTTTAATCCGCCCACTGCTTTCCCCAGCCGTGGAGTTTCAGTATTGCAAGCGCTGGCTGCACGTGTTAGCGTTCACCCAGGCGTCCCCCCCCCGGGTGCCCCTCTCTTCCCCACGGACCCTGGCCCCGGCGGCTCTCCCGCGGCCGGGGGGAAGGAAGGAGGGCATCGCCGCGCCGGCTGCAAGGGGATAGTCCCGGAGGGGAAGGGCTGATGGCGACAGCAAATGCAGAGCTGTTTTCTTGGGTCTCAAATGGCGCAGGTGTAGGGATGGCACCGGCCGGGGCAAAGCCCCAGTGTCCTTCATGGAAAGAGGGAGCCCATTAATGCGCTCACCCTAATGAGGTTAATGAGCTCATCCCCTATCAGACATCAGAGAATCCACGTGGCTGGCTCGAGCCACCGCTGTGGGATGACTTGCTCTGTACTGCATCCCTCCAGTGAGGCTGGAAGTCGGAGCTGGCTGCCCGCTTTCCCACTGAATCGATGGGAAGGGGTTGGGGTGTTCCCGAGGGGAAAGGTCTCCTTGTAATAAAGGCCTTTTCCTTCCTCCCCCCCCTCAAGAGGGGTCTCCGCTGCTGCGGTTGCAGGCGATTTGGGAATGGGGCGATTGCATCGGCGCTGCCGATGTGCCCGGCGGCATAACCCGGTCCCGCGGTGACGGCAGAGCCGGTTGCACAACGTCCCCGACGTTGTGGCTTTTGTAGATCGGCGCATTACGGGGAAAGGGGAAAAAGCAGCGGGGAAATGTTGGAAGTCACAAGATCCCGGGTTTCTGTCCCAGCTTGTCCACCCCGAGCTCCGTCACCGCGTGGAAGGGATCCCACGCCTGCATTTCCCTCCCACGCAGCATCTCCTGGGGAGACGGATTTAAACAGCACCCTCCCGGGAGATCCCTCTCAGGCCGCTGGTGGGTGGGGAGAGCGGTCGGCTGGAAAGGAAAAGAACCCAGTTTGGGACCCCCCGCCCGGCCGGCCGAGGCCCCTTCCCGCTGCACATCCTCCCAATCTGGGTGTAAGGAAAGCCCGTGG